TCGAGAAGGAGAGAGAAAGAAAGAAAGAGAGGCAGGGGTAACAGGACATAGTAGTTCTGTATGCCGTTATAACGCTCCCCCAATCCTTCCTGGGGCTTCTAAGCCCAATTCTGTGATTTGATTTACTGTAATTTATGGGTTTTTAAAATCATCTGTGGGAGGTGAAGGGAAGGAAAGGCGAGTGGGGGGTAGCAAACTCCCTCCTTCTCTAACCTTTTTCCCCTCCCACATTTTCCCCTGTTCCTTTGTATGGCTAACAAAACCCTAAAGGTTGTTCGACTTCGGGAAGCAACTGATAGGTACATTTCCGCAGCTCCAAAATGCCCCTTTTATGACGCTGTTTGTCTCTCTGCGCTGGGTCCTGAATAGGACTGAACAAAACAGCATCGCTGAGCTGGCTAGACGTCTGGGCTTAATTGTTTTATGGTTTAAATAAGGTGGACGCTCTTTCCTTTGAAATCAGATTATAGGAGTGTTTTGTCTACGGGCCACAGAGAACAGGACCTCACTGGCTGGAAGTAATGGGGGGGATGGGGTAGATTAAAAACAAGGAGGGGGGACACCACAGAGGATTCAATGTCCCACCTTAGAGCCAAGCCTTTGGAGGAATGGGACATGAAAAGGGACACAGAAGAGGGTAAGAATCGGGATGTGGGGGAGGATGTCCGAGTGTGCATGTGGTTGCCCTGACATGGGAGATGGCTTTTAAAAAAACAACCTAAATTCACACTAAACTAAGCTCAGAGGAAAAGGTTTGGAGGGGAGGAAGTAAAAAACGTAACAAACGTTGGAATTTTATCGGAGATATTTATTTTAAGTGCTTAGAGATCAGATATCGAGAGATCCGGAAGCCCCCTTTCCGACTTAGCTCCCCCAATTCCCTCACACTATTCTTGAGACTTCTTACCCCTAACCTTTCTACGCTATTTCTAACCTGAACCTAGTCCAAAGACCCCGCTGTTTCTTTTTTCACGCCCCCCCCACTGCGTGCATTGATTCAATTGAACGCTAGGTGGCGCTGTTGCTCAATGTTAGAATCCACTTCGCCGGGTTTGTTTGCCCTATGCCAGTTACACTTTAGGTCTGTTGTAGAGGATTGGGGGGGAAAAGGGGGGGGAGCGGAATCAATCTTACCACCACCACACAAATCTAAACAAATATGTATAAATTCTCTCACCTATGATTTGTAAAATAATATCTAATGCAAGCTGGAGAGCGAGGGCCCTTGCGCTGTCAGGGAGCCCTTGCAGCTCAGTCTCAGAGGGAAAATAATCTGTTTCCACCAGGAGATAAGAAATAAAATAGACTGCATAATTAAAACACAAACCCAGGATGACCCGGACAAATAGACATAAATTCGTGGTACCAATGGCGGGGGTGGGGGGCGGAGGATGGAAGAGAAACGCGTGGAGAGGAGTGGCGTCCAATTATTTTCTTTATTACTAGCCTAGGATATCTGTAGGGATCAAACTAACCGCTCTGTGTATTTTAAAGAAGAGAAATCACAAAGAAGACCACACAGTCCATTAGAACCTGGTGCCAGCCCATAGCGCTCGAGCCCACACGAAAACACACACACACACACACACACACACACACCCTGCTTTGCTAGCGGGAACCTTCTCGCTCACTACCCACCCTCGGGGGATCCAGTCGCATTCCAAGACACAAAGCCGGAGAAGAATGCGTTTATAGCGGTGATTTCTTTGGACCATAAAATGTTGAGAGAGATATTCTGCCCCCCCCCCCAAAAAAAAGATAAGGGAAAGAGTCTGAGAGCTGATTAGGTTGGCCTGGCCTCCTATGGGGCAGGAAGGTAAAGTATTTACGACATTTCCCTGGAACACTGTCGTCGCCCCCCCCAGCCTCCTGAAAACTGTGGAATTCCAGAAATGTCTCATTTTGGGGAACCTGCTCTAAGAGATATTTAGAGGGACAGTACCCACCTATGATGCACCCCTCCTTCACATACACTAGCCTTTCCTCCTCACCCTGACAACTTCAGCAATCACACTGTTTATTCATCTCCCCTTTCTTCTACCACCCCAAGGCTGGGAATGGGTGTGGAGAAGTAAGGAATCCTATAAACTCCCTCAAAACAGGCACCTTCCAGAATATTTCCTCTCTGCCTTTCTCCTTCCTTACATGTGCTCTTTTGGGTTGCTGGGGCATGTGTGTTGGGTGGGAGGGAGAAATGTTAGTGCTGGTTAGGGACCAGGCTTAATCAATTTAGTTTTGAGTATGGTGGGGAATGGGTCCCAGAAAATACCTGCAGGGTGTTTCTGAGGGATATTTTCCCCATAGGATGGTACAGATTTTTTCAGAGAAAAGCTCTTTTCTAAGTCCTTCCTTTCAAGCCCATAGAATTTCACATTTTTGGGGTTTTGCTGGCACCATATTCCCTGAAGAGTATTACGAATCTGGGAGCTCGGAGGTTATTTCCTCAGTCGTCTTTTCCTATCAATTGGGCACTTCCCGTCCCTTTCTCCATTCTGAGATCCTACTTTTGGGGAGTGGGTAAACAATTAAAAAGACAAGATTTCCAATACTTTTGAATATAATTCTAAATCTAGATGAGGTGGAAAAAAGGAAAAGAAATTTCTTTGAATTGAAAAGGTTTAAAGATGGTTCTGTATTGTTGTAAGGTGAGTAAGTATATTCATGTATATGTGTGCATATATACATAGGAATATGTGTAAACAGCAAGAATGTGCATATACAGTATGTATTATGTATGCATGTTGCGCGTTCATATACAGAACTGTATGGTGCATGCATATCTTTGACCAGAAAATGAGTATGGTATATTGTGTGAATATATGTGCATATAAAGATGCCTGCCTTGTGAAATTCATATAGGCTGTACAATTCATATTTATATATAGATAATGAGTATTATGTGTTTCTCTAATAGTTTTATAATAACTTCACATGCAAAGGTGGACAATAGAAGAAAACCTGATCCTGTTCTGTGCCTCGCTTTCTATACACAAAGCCCACAAGTATATCTCTTTCTGATTCTCTGTGTATAGCTATTGCTTTATACAGATATCTCTCTAGCCAGATGCTAAGTGGATTTCAATTCTCTTTTCAGTGGAATTAACTTGAATTTGTTTTGGGCCATGGGGGGAGTAAAAAGAATCCCCTAGAGAACATGTTGGTAAATATATACAGAGGCTCTGTTAACAGTTCATTCCACATCCGTGGTTGTGGGGACAGGCCTGGATTGATGAAGGGCAGAAGAAGAAGAAGAAGAAGAAGAAGAAGAAGAAGAAGAAGAAGAAGAAGAAGAAGAAGAAGAAGAAGAAGAAGAAGAAGAAGAAAGGAAAGGAATGAGTCTCCTTTCCAAAATCAGACAGCTCCTGTTTTATTGGAGGAAGAAGAGGAGGAGGAGGAGGAGGAGGAGGAGGAGGAGCAGGAGGAGGTTATCAAAAAATGGATGTTAATTCCTATCCTGGAGTCCTTTTCACCTTCTCAAAAGAAAAGAAGTCTCCAAAGAGCAGACATTTAGGGAGTAGCTTTAAGGATGAGGTTTTTAAGTTGAGAAGAAGGCCTAGAGATGAGAGATGGTGAGGGAGGGGGAGGGGCAGAGGACACAAGGTAGGCCTCTTGCTCCCTTAAAGAAGAATAGCAAGGACAGCAACAACAAACCACCTGCAAAAAGGCACCAGAGAACAGCCCAGTAGCCTAGCCTATTCTCTGTCATTTCTTTTTTTCAGTGCTGTTGGTGCATCTGTGTGTGTGATGGTTGGGCAGGGGGGAGCGGCAGCTATAATATACAAGCTATCTATCTACCTACTTTCTCCACTTTCTCTGGCTTTTCCTTGGACACCATTTCCTTTGGGAGAGGAGAGTTCAGAATAAGTTTATTTGTTTAAACATAAACAAAACCCCCAAAACCACCCAGCACTCCTTGTGGCCAGGCAAAGGGACCTGTGTCTCACCCTCGGAAATAGTCTTAAACACCCCAGTCTCACTGAGCTTCCCTTTGCTCAGGGTCTCAGCCCTTTGGGAGAGAAGCAAAGAGTTCACCATTGCACATGATCAGGGATGCAATGTTTGTGTGTGTGTGTGTGTGTGTGTGTGTGTGTGTGTGTGTGCGTGTCAGGGGTAGGGGGTGTTAAATGTTGTAGCGGCTGCTTTCTCCTCATGGTTACCCTGTTTAGGAGATTCCCACTTTAAGGAGGGGGGGTGGTCTCCATTGCCTGGTGACCCGTTCATCCCCTTCCAAAGCTTCTGTACCTGTTGAGGTAACCTAAGCTGACCTGGGACATATATGTATCTCTCCCCGTGAAGAAGCTGAAGAGAGAGGAGAAAGGGGGTAGAGGGAAAGGCACCTTCAAATAGGAAATCGCACCTTGAAGCATCAGCCCCTTGCTGCTAGCTCTGGTTTGCTCCCCCCCAACACACACACACACACACACACACACACACACACACATCTCCCCATCCCTCCTCCACCCCTCCCTTCTTCCCTCCCCTTCCTCATTCTAGGTCCCCCCCCAACCACGAACCCCCAACTCTCTCTCTCTCTCTCTCTCTCTCTCTCTCTCTCTCTCTCTTCTCTCTCTCTCTCTCTCTCTCTCTCTCTCTCTCTCTCTCTCTCTCGCCTGTCTTCATGTCGTGGATTGATGAACGCGAATCGCGTGTAAGCGCCGCCACCGCCGGGAGTCTGAGGAATTCGCCTGGGCTGTTAAAGCAAAGAGCGAAGTGAGAGAGAGCGAGAGCTCTACCTACCGACAGTAAGGAGAGACGCCGGCAGCAGCCAGCCAGCCTAGCTCGTCGCCTTGCTCGCCCCCTTAGCCTATGGAGCTGCCCTGAACGAGGGCAGAGGCAGACAGAGACAGGCACCCGGGCGCGCCCCCAATCCCCCCCAATCCCCAACCCAGCCTAGCCCAGCCCAGGGGAGCCAGTCAGCCTGGGGTTTGCATCTGGGGGGGCGGTGATTCGGGGTATCTGGCGGGGGTGTCAGGAGCCATAGGAGAGGGGGCAGTGGGGTTTTCATGCTCCCAGCATGAGCTCCTATTTTGTCAACCCCCTGTTCTCCAAATACAAAGGCGGTGAGTCCTTGGAGCCGGCGTATTACGACTGCCGGTTCCCTCAAAGTGTGGGTAGGAGCCATGCCTTAGTATACGGCCCGGGCAGCACGGCGCCCAGCTTTCAGCATGCCTCTCACCACGTCCAAGACTTCTTCCACCACGGGACTTCGAGCATCTCCAACTCCGGCTACCAGCAGAACCCGTGTTCCCTCAGCTGCCACGGAGACGCCTCCAAATTCTATGGCTACGAGGCGCTCCCCAGACAGCCTCTTTATGGGGCTCAGCAAGAGGCGAGCGTCGTGCAATATCCCGACTGTAAATCCTCCGCCAACAGTAACAGTAACGAAGGACAAGGGCACCTAAATCAAAACTCGTCTCCCAGTCTCATGTTTCCATGGATGAGACCCCACGGTGAGAAGTCTTTTCTCTTCCCCTCTCTGTCCCTTTCTCCGTCTATCTCTGTCTCTTTCTGGATCTCTCCCCCCCTCCACGTTCTTTTTGTTCGCACTCCTTTTTTTCTCCCGGTTTTGGGTCTTCCCGTAAACCCCTTTCCCTTCCCCCTACCCCGCCCCATTTGTTTGGGTGGGTGTTCGTTGTTTCTCGCTGGGCCTGGGAGCAGAGGGGGTTTTCTGGGAGGGTTTGGGGACGATGGAAGAGGGAGGAGTGGGGGAGGTGGCGTCTGGGTGAAAAGGGTTAAAAATTCCTCCCCCCCCCAATCTATAAAATAAAAGTTGGTTTTAGGGCAGAGTGTAAAAGGACTAAACTCCCAGGAGATTATTAGCATTCAGAGAAGCCCTAGCTCTCTATACCGCTTGGGGCCCAATTCAGAACCGGAGAGACAGGGAAACCAACAGTGTTGTCTGAGGAACGAGGTAAAGGGAAGTATTCTTCCAACACCGCCCCCTGCCCCCAGTCCAGAAGAGCAAGGGAGATCCCAATGGTCAGGATTTTGGTTTACTGAGTTCCCCTTCTCCCCCTCTCAAAAGGGTCTACAAAGGCGACTTCTCTAAACTTTGTTCAACTTAATACAATTGGCAGAAGAAGAATGGAGAAAGGGGTGCCCAAATAAAAATTTCACTTTAGGGGGATGTCTCCATTCCACCAAACACACAAGCAGGGAATCTGTCCAGCTCCTATTTCACTGTATTTGTCCCGAACGCCCACCCCCAATGGTGAGAAGCACTGTACACTCCCTCCGACAAGGAATAGCTCCAGAATGACCCTCAAAGTTATCTCAAGATTTTAGTTTTAAGCAGGGGTGAGTCTCATTATCCCATTTCGAAGCAAAAGGGGAAAAGAGAGAGAGAAAAGTTATTGACAGGGAGAGGCTGTGACTGATCTGCTGGTCTCCAGTTAGCAGTAATTTCGAGACATAATACATTTTAGTAGATAAATTATTTTTCTTATTGGAAAAGCATTGGGTAGAAAGAGGAAGGAGGTGGGGAGGGTGACACACAAACCTCGCCATCTCCCTTTAGCTCTCTGGCTTCCTTTCTTTTGGGGTTGATTATCTCCCTAGTCCTCTCCTCCAAAAGCCAACATAGAACAACAAAGCTTCGGAAGTCATAGAGGGAGACTGCTTGGAGGTAGTGGTTGTGGTGGAGAGAAACTTGCCGGTCCCCCTTTCTCTTCAAAGCCCCAATTATTAAATACTCGGCGCCCCTGGCCCTACTCCCCACCACCGTCTCCGTCTTCCAAGTAAAAAGGAAGTCAAACAAACGAGACCAAATCAAAACAAAACCCCAAACTTTCCTTCTTCCTAGCTGCTTTTTCCCATTTCTTTTTCAAGTAGAGGGAGAGCAGCTGGGAGGATAAGAGGGGGAACCTTTTGAGAGCAATGGGAAAGAGACACCCATCCCCCTCCCTCCCGACTCCTAGAATAACAGGTTTGGGGTTTTGTTCTGTTCAGCTCCTGGGCGGCGCAGCGGACGACAAACTTACAGCCGGTATCAGACCTTGGAACTAGAAAAGGAGTTTCTCTTTAATCCATATTTGACACGAAAGCGACGAATTGAGGTCTCTCACGCCCTGGGACTGACTGAAAGACAAGTGAAGATTTGGTTCCAGAACCGCAGGATGAAGTGGAAAAAGGAGAACAACAAGGATAAACTTCCTGGAGCCCGAGATGAGGAGAAAACAGAAGAAGAAGGGAACGAGGAAGAGGAGAAAGAAGAGGAAGAAAAAGAAGAGAACAAGGACTGAAAGGGGGAAAGATTTTTTTTTCTTTTAGCAACTCCCTTGAAGTTTCGTTTTATGGTAGAGGATAAATTGAGAAGTTTACGACTGTCATTCGCTTTTATAGAGAATAGAATGAGACTCACAACTGTAACTACCTGTCAAATACTTGTAACTCTGGTTTTACGATCATTGAACTTCCCCCTAGCTTTATATTTTTTGGGGCTGGGAAGGGGAGATGAGGGTTCTGGGATGGTGCTGAGTGGAGGCGGGAGGAGGAATCTAGACACAGAAAAGTTTTGGCTCCTGTCTCAACAAGCTCCCCACCACCCCTACACACACACACACACACACACACACACACACACACACACACACACACACACGCACGCACGCACGCACGCAAACACACTGCTCCTCCAGACTCTGTCCTCTCCTAGTATCTCAGATATGCCCTCTCCTTCTTTGCTCTTCCTTTGGATATAAACTACAGTCCCACCTCACTGCCTCTTTGGTGTTTCTTTTTGTAGGGGAGCCCTCCCCCCACGCTCTGAAAGAGTTGAGGGAAGGGAGAGGGAATTCCTTGCTTTTTCTTCTGTGCTATGTTATATTATTGGATTCCCCCCCTAATTCATTGTTCCTTTTGGGGGAGGGGGAAGATCCTTACTTAGAGTGACTCCCTTGGCTTTCCCTGGAACCTTAGGGAGACCTGACTTTCTGCTGCCCCACACCCCTAAGAAGCAGAGATCAGTATGTAGCCTCCCTCTATAGAGTTCCTTCCAGCCAGGCCACGGTCAGTCCCCAGTTAGTGCTCTGTGGTTTCTGTTGTCCAAAGAGGCAGCAGCTCTGTGTCCAGCTTCCCCAGCCCCTATATGTGTTAGCTCTCTGAAATAATGATAATTATGATAATAATGATAATAAATCTTTAATGTACTACCTAAAGGGAACCTGCAATAATCTTGAAGAAGAAAAAAAAAAAGAAAAAAATCCCCATCTCAGGAGGGAGGGGGAAAAAAAGGGGAAAAAGAAAAAAGAAAAAAAAACCGTTATAAGCCTCCAGCGTATTGTATCACTACCTATAGAAGGAAGCCCTGCTTTGAGAGTATTCGTATCGCGGTTTTGTTGTCGTTTGTCGCTGCTTATTTCATGAAGAAGGTGCCCAACAACTAAAACTGCCTAGCTCACCAGTACTGTGTGTTCCTTTATTGTGCTTTGATACCCAGTAGAGTAGGAACTAAATTGCACTGAATGTATAGTTAACTGTCTTGAACTATCTGTTTATGCAACGTGCTCGAAAGAAAAGGAAAAAAAAAGATAAAAAAATGATATCTATAATAATAATTTCTGGTCATTCGTCTTTATGTCGAGCTATGAATGTAGATTTTGTGTGGCCACAGCCCTGTTTCTGGTCCAAGTACTTTGTATTGTATACGTGAATCATAATAAAAACAAAAACAAACAAAGAAGAAAAGCAAAGATTTGGAGCCCAGAATGAGTTTCCGTCACTTCTCTGTCCCCTCTCTCATAGTCTCTCTTCTCTCCATCCTCTGCAGTTTCTCTTCTCTCTCGAGACAGCTGGGGAGGGGTGTCTCTGGAAGTTCTTTATGGGTATGGCTTATGGTGGGAATAAGGATGTCAAATAAAACAGGTCTTCAGAACTGGAGACAGGACTCTCAGCTGAATTTGAAGACGGCAAGTGAAAGCGGGTTCAGTGTGGGATAAGGGGACCCTACACCTGGGGGGGTAAGTCAACCAAGTGTATCTTCCTTGGAAATAGGTAATGATTCATTTCCCGAGTTAGGAGAAGCTCTTTCCTCAGGCCTTGTCCCAGATTCCACATCTCAACCACTCTCTAGCTTCCATCTTTCCTCTCTCTTCCCAAGCCAGACAAAAAGTCTCTCATGCACTTGTCTGACTTTTTCCTCACTTTCCAAAGTGGGCTGAGGGTAAATTATCAGGGGGAAGAGGGGCACATGGATGGAAATGAAGTGTTTTTGAGAACCCTTCTAGAACACCTCTTCCCATAGCCTCCCTCCCCAGATTCTCTTGGATACAACTCCCTGTGGGGATAAAGGATACTTTCTGTGTGGTTTAATTTTTTTTTTTTTATAAAGAGCTTTGGGGCAGAAGCAATCCTGATTCTATAAAAGAGGTATGAGATGAAGGGGGCGGAATTAGAGTGGGATGGGGGGGAGAATTGTCTAAGTTGAAGGTTGGTGAAAGTCGAAGGCAAGATGAGATAAGTGATGGTGAGCAGGCATAAGTCACATAATTTGTGAGGTTGTTTGACCACTACCCTTTCTACGGCTTCATCTTGGCAATTGGGCAGCCAAACCTTGCCCCCACTTTAATGCCAGTTCCTTGAAGATCTAACCTTGATGGGGAAGTCTAACTCTATACCCAACTGTCTGTCATGAGCTTTTAGTCCTAATCCTGCGCTGACTTCATGGAATTTGGGACAAATCTCCTGCCCCCTCTTCAATTTCCTGAAGATAAAGGGGAGACAGAAGGAAGTCAAGAAAAAGAAGGAAAGGGAGAGGGGACATTCAAGGGTCTTGGGCTGAAATTTCTGTTTATAACTATAGACTTCTGGTCAAATTCCAGAGATACAACTAGTCTGACTCAGCTGGTGCTTAGGGGCGAGGGAGACTAGACCCTCCTGGATTTAGAAACCAGACCCTAAACACTGAAATATTTCTAAGTCTTGGAACGGTTTTCTCTTTGTTTTCCCTTTTTCCCTCCCTCTTCTTTTCCTCTCCCCCCTTTTCAATTTCTCTCCTCTCCTTCCTTCCTTCCTTCCTTCCTTCTTTCCTTCCTTCCTTCCTTCCTTCCTTCCTTCCTTCCTTCCTTCCTTCCTTCCTTCCTTCCTTCCTTCCTTCCTTCCTTCCTTCCTTCTCTCTCTCTCTCTCTCTCTCTCTCTCTCTCTCTCTCTCTCTCTCCTCTCTCTCTCTCTCTCTCCCCCCCACATTAGTCAATCATTTTCCTCGATCTAGGTTCAGGGCAAATTTCTCATCACAATTTTCTGTCAAGGACCGTCCCTGGTCTCTGATTTGGTGCAAAGCACTTTGATCAGTTGAGGGGTTTTGGATTCGTATTCAAAGCGTTTTGTTATTGTTGTTATTGTTTTTGTTTGCCTTTTTTTTTAATGTAGCGGTAGTGTTGTTAGTACTAAGATCTGGGCAATTGGAAGTGAGGAGGTAGTTCTTGGTTATGGGAAGTGGAAGTGAGTAGAGCGTTATTATCCCAAATCTCACATCTCTCAAAAGTCTCATTATTGCCCTCCTTCCTCTCTCGGAGCCCATACTCGCACCGAGCCAGGTAATCAGTTTCTTGTGCTTTCGGGTGCGTCTCTCAAAGGTTAGGGAAAGGTCCTTTTTTCTAATCTTTCCTGGAATCCTTCTCCGAAGTCGGGTGCCCTTTCCAGAAGGCTAGGGGGAGAGGCAGGGTATTTGGTAAATTTTATTTAGTTATTTTTAATGGTAAGGATGATTTAAAATGTTAAGTACCCACAACGAAGTCCAGGAAAAAAAAAACCCGCATTAAATAGACTCGGCCCTCGCTCACACGGCCTTTAGGAACGACTTTTTTCTTTTCCAGCCCACTCTACGGTTATCGCCTCGGCCCAGGCACAGTCAGACTTCTAGAGAGTGCCTTGGGCAGACAGAGCACCCCTAGGGTGCCTGGTTCACTGCATCTTTTCCAGGGGGCCCCTGGGAATGAAGCATCAACTCTCAGGCTGCAACCAGAAGAACATCTCTCTTCAGTCCCCCTCCCACCCACCTCCCCCCACTTTCTTGTAAGGAGCGGAGAGGAATCGGATCCAGTTTTATGGGGGGAAAGTAATTGGGAGCGCAGTGCGCTCGCTGCCTTTAGAGCGCCGTCTCGCAAACACTCATTGCCGTTGTATTACCGGAATGGGGACCATTCCACCGCCTGGAGAAAGGACTCTCCCTCATCCTTTACTTTTTTATTAGCCAATCAAATTTGCTTCGGAGAGCTATTTGTGATTTGTGAAAAATAGTATCTTTCAAAATGCTGAGTTGTAGCATCTTGTTCATTTCGCCCTGAATTTATTATTCTAATCTCCGCTGCAGAGACAGGATAATGCAGCCATTAAGTTGGGGGGAAATTCGTTTCTCTTGATTTTTTACAAAACTCTCCCCTGATTTCTCTGCCTCTCTCACCCCACTCAGGGAGAAAATTGCGTGGCGAGTGAATGTGTGTTTGGTGGGGTGGATGAGAAGGGGGTGAAGCTGGGGTGATGATGGAGGTGTGGGTGGGGGAGGGGAGAACGTTGGGGCTATAGAGGCTGTAGAATTTCGATCTCTGGGGTCGATTTTCACATTTGCCCCAGTGGGACTGGGATTCCCCTGGTCTGTTGCTCTCCCTCAGATAATCATCTTGGGGATTTTCAAGCGCCTAGTTTTTGTCGGTCTGGAATAGGTTCCTCTCCATCCCCACCCCCCAAAAGAGAGAGGCAAAGGGACAGGTTGTGCCCTGGACTGAGGAGCGAAATTTCCGGTGAGCTCCAGGCATTGCTCCCCCATTCTTCGCTCTGTCTATTGTGAGAAGCTGGGCTGGCCGCTTCCTCCTCGTAACTTTTAACTACCTGTTATAAAATTTATGGGTGGGTTTGTAAAGCGAACAAGGTACCGCATCCGGCTGAGAGGGCTGGTCGCCTACTAGGAAAGGAGTTTGGGGAGGCAGCCAACACCCTGAGCTTGGGGAACAACAGGAACCCTCTGTCTACTGAAGAGATAAGGGGAGATCAGGGTGAATCCTTAAGGGAAGATCGCCCAAAGTATCCAAAGACGGGAAAAATAAGGAAGAAAAAAAATCTCCCCGTTCCCCAAGAGGGGAAGATGCCGTTTGGGTAGGGTAATGAGAAATTAAAGAGTACTCTCTCCCCTTTTCTTTAAATGGGGAAATAGCGTTGTGAATTTGCTTTGCAATAAGTGACGCTAATCAAGGAGAAAAAGAGATAATATTTTCCAAGAGCTCAGCTAGGCCTTACTTATCTTAGGTTTTCACTTAAATAGCGAAGGGCAAAAAATTTTTAGTGATAGAGACAATAAATGGATGAGTGGGTGAGACTCCGTGCCAGGTCCTTCGAATCTCCAGGACTGGGGTGAGAAGGAAGGAAGGAAGGAAATGGACAAGTCGCGCTTTATGGGTGAGAGGGGAGTTTTAAAAAAATAAAGAGAAAAAGATGAGAATGAGATTTGGGGAAGAGGAAGGTCCTCGGCTTCGGGATGAGAGAAGCTTTACATCAAGTGATGACATGGAAGAATTCAGCGTTGGGGTTAGAGAAAAAAGGGGAGTGATCGAAGGCCTCACTCGAATTATTGGGGTACTCTCTAGCTTCTTCCCCATTCCTCCCCACACCTCCCAATGATATGATTCTAGGGCATATCGTATACCTTTAGGAGTCTTCTTCAAGGGTTGTAACTGAGAGGAACAGATCTAGATGAAGGAGTCGGGCGGGTTTGGGGTTGGGCCGTGGTGGGGTGGAGGAGGACCAAACCGTTGACCTCTAATTTCTGGACTTTGAGTGAGCAGTGAACTTTTTTGGATGTATGCATGTGGGGCATTCAGGCGGGAACCCGCCAATGGATACCTCGAAGGAACTGTACCCTTAGTGGGTATCCCTCTAGCTTTCTTTGGGAAGAAATGAGAGAGATAGGAAGGAGGGAATCCATCCCATTTTCTCGTTGTATGTTTGTGAATTCACGATCTTTCCAATCAGCTTATTCTGCTCATCTTTTAAAATTAAGCACCCCTCCTCATTTGTCCTAAAAATCCCCCCCTTTAAAAAAATCGTATAAAGGAGGAAGAATATGACCCGTAGAGCCCACCCTCCCAATTTCCTCCTTCCCTACTTTCCCTAGTTTCTCCCTCTTGCTCATTCAGCTCTGTAGACTCTGGGGAGTGGGAGGTGGGTGAGGGTGGGGTGGGGGGCTGGGGGATGCTCCCTCTTGGAGAGAACTGGGTAAACATGGCGACAGCGGCTCCCATTTGCACACGCTACACAAATGCATCGCATTCCCGGTTGTTTGCAGAAAATTTACAGCTGAGTAATAAAAGTTTACGATCGACTCACAAGTTGGATTGGCCACAAGAAGTCATGTGGATTCCATCCATGAACGTGAACTTTTTATTGTGGTTTGTCCGTACGGAGAGCTCCGCAGAAGAGTCCTCCCTTTAAAGCCTAACCATTGCCAGTGAAACCAGAACTGGGCGCTCCCCCTTATTAATAGTATTTCTTTTATTAGCCTGATTATTCATTATTTTCTCCCCTCCCCCCTTTTTTCCTCCCAGGTGGAGTTGCCAGAAGCTGGGGGCATCTGGGGAGGGGGGTAGGGTAGGGTGGTGTGTGTGTGGGAGAGGCAAGAGCTGCCGGAACCTCTCTGCCCCCCCCCGCACCCCCTTCCCCCCAGGGGCATGGAGAAGCCAGGGAGAGAAGGAGTT